AGTATAAGATATTTACCCTATACCCCAGGAGTTATCAAACACAAAAACTATGAACTTCTTAACTTCCCGGGGAGGTTATCAAACACAAAAACCATGAACTTCTTAAGTAACTTCTAATTTAAAGTTCTTCAGGAACTTCCAACTTACGGTTCATGAACTTGCTTCCAGTTATCAAATAGGCCTTAAGGTGCTTTATGTGTGCTATTAAGTTGTACCATTTCAAACTCATATATAGATGAGTTTTTTTAATACTAACTAGTATATAAATGAGTTTGAAACGTTAAATTTAATGACTAAAACTTTAGAATTTGAAGCTTGCTCAAAATTCATACGAATTGTATGAATCGCTAAATAGTGACATACACAACTAGTCAATGCCAATATGCTATAGTCAGACCATACTCTATCGTCCACATCAACCATCATATATCAAAACAAAAGGTCAGTAAAATCAAAACTCAAACGACTTAAAACAACAAAGCTCAAGACAAGACAATAAATCTCATTAACCCAAATTTCAAATCAAGGTTCTTCATCATCATCATCATCATCATCATCACCACCACCACCATTTATAGCAACACGAACACCACAATCTCCACTTCCAACACCACTACTAGCAGCATCCGAAAGTGATGATGATGCCAAACCATCATCATTTGAGTCATCCTCCTCAATATATCACTCTTCTTCAACAGGCTCCTTGAGAAAAATCTCAAGTATTGATCCAACAACTCAAGTATTTCGTAATTTACAAAAATCAAGTATTTAGTTAGGATGCAATAAATCAAACTCAAGTATAGGACAAAGTAACCCACCCTAGAAATACATTTAATCATTTACAAAATCAAAACTAGAAACATACAATACGAAAACCCAATTACCCAATTATTAGAAAAAGTCACTAAAGCCACACCAAAAATTAAAAAGGAATAATCAAAACATTCGAAAAGGGACAATAGAGTCGAAGAAGATCACTTATTTGTCTATTTTCAATATTAGGACAATTTTGGGACCAATAAAGTAAAAAGATCCTGAGATTCATGCCTTTATAAAACAGTTTCTTATGATTGGGTAACTCAATAAAATGTCAATAAACTCAAACCCAAACCCACTCTTGAATAGAAAAAGAGCGTAAAACCAAACTTGAAGAAAAGAACACAAAAACAATAACTAATGCTGAAAAACCAAGAAACCAAGAAACCAAAAAAAATCAACAAGAAGCACACAATTTTGGAGAAACCCTAGGGTTTACTCCCGCCTAGGGCTCAATCCTTAGGCTTCTTTTACAAGACAAAGTCTTTCTTTTCTTAAAGAGGAACACATGAATGACTCTCCAACCCATCCATCCCCTTATTTATACTAAAATTATTGCTTTGGACAACATTTGTCCATATAATTAACTTTTGACCAAAAGGTCCTAATTTAAGTATAACTTGAAACTAAACTCTCTAACTTTAATTAAAATATCTAAAAAGTCCCTAGAATACCTAGAAACTAAAAACTCCCTAGAACTAAACCCTAAAACTAAAATCAAAATATACATCCTTTAAAGTTGAATAGAAATTAAAAATAAGTATATTCCCTCCATCACTCTTTTAAAGATTTTACACAATGAGATACGGTATTTGGGTGTGGAATACCCCCCGAAACCCTTTTTCCCACTTTTGAGGGGAGAAGTGACAGAAAATTGTGAAAATGCCCCCAGCGAGGACAATTTTCTGCCCTCAGCAAGAGGGCATTGAGGCAGCATCTTGGGCTAAAAGGCAGCACTAGGTGGCCCCCCATGCTTCCTTCCTTGACCCAAAAGGCAGGTGCCATTTGGGTAGGCCACCCTAGGCGGCGCACCCATGGCCCGCGACTGCCTGAGCAGCGAGGCAGCCAATTTTTTCCACATAGGTCTTCCCATGGTAAAGTACAATGCATCGATTGATGTGCACTCCGTTAATGAAGTGCATCTTCCTGCAGAAACGACTAGCTTTGATGTGGCACAGTTTACGATAGATCATGGGAGGACTATTCCTAAACCTTAGATAAATCACTATATAATTTGCTTATTCCACTTTGTTCACATATTGTGACCAGTTGTGCACAACATACACACATGCCTGCCCAGACACATAGTGCACCATGTATGAGCCTCATGTGCAAAGAGCACTTGCACAGTTTGGCATGGCTGAGAGCATCTAAGCTCGGCCAGATCAACTGGGAAACAAATGGTGGGGCGAATGTAGGAATAACCAGTACCTGGAGCACCGTAAATGTGCACCACACCAATGTTGGTGTGTAGTGTAAGAAAATGTGGGTGCAACTCAAGGCTGCGTGTGGGCATATATCATCATATCTTGAAGAAAATCACTATGGGCTTGTTGAAACACACAAGGAAATTGGAGTTGAGAACATTGGAGATTTTTATTGAACCAAATTGTCATGTAGAAACTGATTAAGTGGATTTTTCTTTTTTTTGATAATTAAATGAATAGTGGAATTACAAAAGGATACAAGTATTTCAAAGATTAGTGGGCGACCTCAATTTCATGCCCAATAGGGGTCAGTATCTAGTTTCCAAATGCACACAATCAGCCTCTTCTAAAGATTTTACACAGAAAGGAATAATTTGTTCAGTATGCAAATCTCAATGCAAGAGCCCTATCAGATGCAAATTGGGTTGGTTCTCAATTAGACACACAATGCGTCGATTGATGTACACTCCTTTAATGAAGTGCATCTTCCTGCAGAAGCGACTAGCTTTGATGTGGCACAGTCTACGATAGCTCATGGGAGGACTATTCCTAAACCTTAGATAAATCACTATATAATTTGCTTATTCCACTTTGTTCGCATATTGTGACCAGTTGTGCACAACATGCACACATGCCTGCCCAGACACATAGTGCACCATGCATGAGCCCTCATGTGCACAGAGCACTTGCACAGTTTGGTATGGCTGAGAGCATCTAAGCTCGGCCAGATCAACTAGGAAACAAATGGTGGGTTGGCCGAATGTAGGAATAACCGGTACTTGGAACACCGTAAATGTGCACCACACCAATGTTGGTGTGTAATGTAAGAAAATGTGGGTGGCAACCCAAGGCCGCGTGTGGGCATATATCATCATATCTTGAAGAAAATACACTATGGGCTTGTTGAAACACACAAGGAAATTGGAGTTGAGAACATTGGAGATTCTTATTGAACCAAATTGTCATATAGAAACTGATTAAATGGATTTTTCTTTTTTTATGATAATTAAATGAATAGTGGAATTACAAAAGGATACAAGTACTTCAAAGATTAGTGGGCGAGCTCAATTTCATGCCCAATAGGGGTCATTATCTAGTTTCCAAATGCACACAATGAGCCTCTTCTAAAGATTTTACACAGAAAGGAATAATTTGTTCAATATAAAAATCTCAATGCAAGAGCCCTATCAGATGCAAATTGGGTTGGTTCTCAATTAGACACACAATGCATCGATTAATGTGCACTCCTTTAATGAAGTGCATCTTCCTGCAGAAGCGACGAGCTTTGATGTGGCACAGTCTACGATAGATCATGGGAGGACTATTCCTAAACCTTAGATAAATCACTATATAATTTGCTTATTCCACTTTGTTCACATATTGTGACCAGTTGTCCACAACATGCACACATGCCTGCCCAGACACATAGTGCACCGTGCATGAGCCTCATGTGCACAGAGCACTTGCACAGTTTGGCATGGCTGAGAGCATCTAAGCTCGGCCAGATCAAATGGGAAACAAATGGTGGGTTGGGCGATTGTAGGAATAACCAGTACCTGCAGCACCGTAAATGTGCACCACCCAATGTTGGTGTGTAGTGTAAGAAAATGTGGGTGGCAACTCAAGGCTGCGTGTGGGCATATATCATCATATCTTGAAGAAAATACACTATGGGCTTGTTGAAACACACAAGGAAATTGGAGTTGATAACATTGGAGATTTTTATTGAACCAAATTGTCATGTAGAAACTGATTAAGTGGATTTTTCTTGTTTTTTGATAATTAAATGAATAGTGGAATTACAAAAGGATACAAGTATTTCAAAGATTAGTGGGCGAGCTCAATTTCATGCCCAATAGGGGTCATTATCTAGTTTCAAATGCACACAATGAGCCTCTTCTAAAGATTTTACACAAAAAGGAATAATTTGTTCCATATGAAAATATCAATGCAAAAGCCCTATCAGATGCAAATTGGGTTGGTTCTCAATTAGACACCCAATCTACTATTTGCATTTTTTTATTATTATTGTTAAAAACCGATCTACAACTACCATTGCATCTTCATAAGAGGAAGGAAACCCAGCAATGTGGAAGAGTACAAGATAGCATGTTCTCCCAAGGTCTATTGTTGAAATGGAGCAAAGGGCTATGGCTCATACTGCATGCAAACTACTATGCCTGAGAGCCTTCAGAGATTGAGATTAGATATTAGTTGCACCTTCCAATGGACATTTACTGCAATAACTGAAGAATGCTTAATTTTTCTTGGTCTCCACTATTTCATGAGAGGACAAACCAAGAGCATTGACATTGATTGTCAGTTCATCAAAGAGTGGGTGATATTATTACGTCTAAAGAGATCTGAGCACATATGTGAACTAAGAAGATTAACTGATTGACTGACTTGCATGCTCAAAAAGGCAATTGGAAAGAACAAGCAGCAAGTCATTCTAGATAAATTAAACATGATAGATAGCTTTGCAGCAGCTTGTGAGGGAGAGTAGTTGATAAAGAAAAAAGGTGACATTTTCTCAGATACATTATTTGCAGCAAAATTTCATGAACATAAAAATCGCATCACAAAGCCTCTTAAATTAATGAAATATTAATGATATAAGAACCCATAGCTACAAATCCACACCAGGGAATCAAGTTGTTGCAAAGATTTAAGTAACGACGAACTCACAGGAATGCCCGCTGCCCATGACTTAGTCGCAGCGATAACAGCTTTCCCTAAACCATTTGCTCCTTTTCCATCCGGTCCATAGCCCCCAAGAAAATAAGCACTCAATAACCATCCTGTAATTTAATTACCGAAAGGAAAGGAAAAGAAAAAGGGAATTAACCATATGAATTTAAAATAATAAGACACACTTCTACTGATGATAAGGATGAAACTGATGAACAAGAATCCATTAAAATTTTAGAACAGGAAAACAGTGCCTGCAATAAAAGGGTCAGCTATGTGAAAGGTTTCGATATCGAAGACAGGGAAGCCATGGTTGAATCTTCCAATCGCTGCAAACACCAACAAGCACAAAACATCTCCACCTGCAAGAAATGCAACACGTCTGGAAAACAAAATCATGTAAGAGATTGAAAAACAAGCATCAATTGTGCAATTTTGGAGAAAACAAAAACATGGGTTTTGTATGAGAAGTAGAGAGAGAGGCTCAGACTCACGCCCACGAAGAGAGAGAATACCCCGATTTCTCAAACTGTATAACACCTTCCAAGGGGACCCCATCGTCCTCAACGGAGATCCTATTCTCATCACCACCAACACAAGCCACAGGGCCAACCACTGGCAATGGTCTCCTCTTTGCTCTCAAAAACCTCGAATTTTTAGAGAGATTTGGAGAGAGAGAGGTGTTGGTTTTAATCCATGAATTTGAAAAGTGATTTGCTGGATGTTTTGAAATGTGATGAGAGGAAGGGAGAGAGAAGGAGCGTTTGGGTAAAGGCCTTGAAGCAGGCCCTGCGCTCACCACCAACATGGCAATGGCGATGATTACGATGCTTGCCTTCCTTGCTTAGGCATCCACCCGTTTTCCTGTAGCCCATCCATTTAAAGAACGCCATTATTTTGGGAAAAACTATAAAAAAAAAAGAAAAAAAAAGATAAAGTTTCTATAACGCATAGTATTAAAACCACATAAAGCCTCCCTTAAATCCTCTGTATATCACTTTTAACCAGTGTTTTAAAAAACGTCGAGTCAAACCGGATTCGCCCTGTTCGATTCGAAAATCGTGAAAAAGGGACCGGATCGCGAGTTCGAACAGTGAATCGGCGAGTCTGAACAGTGAATCTGCGAGTCCATACGGATTTTTTTTTTTTTGTAATCCATAATAGTTTTTTTTGTAATACTTGATCGATTTTTTTGTAATCCATGATCGAATTGTTTTTGTTTTTTTGTAATCCATGATCGAATTTTTTGGTTTTTTGTAACCCATAATAGAATTTTTTGTAATCCATGATCGAAATGTTTGTTTTCTTTTCTTGTAATCCATGATCGATTTTTTTGTTTTTTTTTTTTTTTGTGTAACCCATGATAGAATTTTTTGTAATCCATGATCGAATGTTTTGTAATACATGATCGAAATGTTTGTTTTTTGTTGTAATCCATGATCCAAATGTTTGTTTTTTTTTGTAATCCATGATTGAATTTTTTGTTTTTTGTTTTTTTTGTAACCCATGATAGAGTTTTTTGTAATCCATGATTGAATTTTTTGTAATCCATGATCAAACTGTTTTTTCTTTTTTTGTAATCCACGATTGAATTTTTTGTTTTTTTTTGTTTGTT